TCTCTCAGTCTCATTTTTAAAAGAAAGACTCAACAAACAAGACTCAAAAGACTCAACCTAAAAAACTTAGACTCACAAGATTCACACAACTCACAAGACTTGACTTGACAAACCAAAACAAGATTTGACAAACCAACCTAGGACTTTCTAACTTGCTCTGATACCAAAATGATGCGACCAAAAATTTTTGATCACAAAAACAAACTCTTTCTAGGATGCTAGAAAGACATAAACTACTCAAAACTTGACAAAATATAACTAACAAAACAAAATACAACTTTAATATTATAAAAGGACTTACAAATAAGGACTCTTACAAACGACTCAAACAAGACAACCTAAAATTGCTTTCCAAAAGAAGAGGGATACAGGTGAGTTGGTCACTTGTAGAGAGACGAAAGAGGTTAGAAGCCAAGACAAAGGGTGGAAAGAACTCGCAAGTCTTTCCTAGAGGAGATAAGAAGTAGAATGGAACAAGCTCGCAAGCTTTTCCAACAAAACCCGCAGGTTTATATTTCCAAAAATCATTCTTATAACATTCTTTTTTAAAACATTACAAAACCCCTCATATATGTAGGTATGAAAGGGGAATACAAACAAGCACCTAATTAAATTCCCACAGGAATCTAAGCACCACAAACCACGGAAAAGCCCCCAACTTTTCACGGAAAAACAGCCCAGCCAAGGAACCGAAGAGGCAGCTGCAGGAACCCAAGAGGCCCGCACGGAACCGAGCCACCAGGCACGGGAAAAGCCACCCAGCACGGAAGTCCAGCAGCCCACCGTGGGAACCAAGGAGCCAAGGCACAGAAACAGGCAACCGTGGAAGCCAAGGAGCCAAGGCACGGGAAAACAAACAACATTGGGATTCCAAAAGCCATTTTAGAATCCCAAGAGACAAACATAAATTTAAGACATAAAAACTATAAATAAAAATACATAATTAAGATAACTAATGAACTAAAACTTAGCTAATAATGAGCTAACCTTTAGTTCAATAAATGAACTAAAAATCAGCTCATAAATGAGCTAAATTCCAGCTCAAAATTTATTGAGCTAGTAAGCCCAAGGGAAATCAAAACCAAATATTTTTGGATTTGATTTGACCCCCCTTTTGCCTACATCAAGAGTCCAATGTCGGGCCTTTACTTCAAGATTTATGTAAGTTTTAATATATATAGCGTAAGGTGTAAGCCTCATGCTAGTGAGGCGAATGCGGGCCTGAACCAAGTTGAGGCGCAAGCCTCATAAAAAAAACTCGAGGCGTAAGCATCGAGGTATTTTTTTCTGGAATTGCACAAAGGCGGGCCTGAAGGCGAGCCTCATATTGCGCAATTTTAAACCATGATCGCAGTTGATCGACTCAATCGGTCATCGTCAAGCATCAATTTTCTCGAATTGGATCTCAATTTAATTAAATTAAACTCAAATTGATCGAATCGACCCAAAATTGGCTACTGAAGCTTTTCCCTAGGATTATTGAATTGGCTATTTCTGATTTTTTTTTGTTGCAAAACTTTTAACGCCATACAATATATCTTGCTATTTTGTAATATTTCTGTTTGGCTCCATGTTCGATTGTCCAATTATTTCATATATATATATACACACACACACGCTTTCCAAGCATTATTGATTCTGTTTGCTATATCCTTATTGATACAAGAAATCCAAAGCCGAGTAGTCCTATTATACTCCGTTGTCATCTGGTTTTTTTCCTTAATTCGATAGATTCTAATTTCATAGCATTTTTCAATAAATGTGGTAAATGCTTTTGTCAAGAATTAGGGAAATTTTATCTGATAATCTCCACATATCATGGTAAAAGAACTAATCTTGGTAATAGTGTTTTATCTTAAGATTTTTTTGTTTTTTTTTAATTTACTATTTGAAACTAATTTCTTTTAGCATCTTCATAAATTTTTTTTTAAAAAAAAAGTATCAATGAGATTTGTAGTCGGTAATAATTTTTTTGGGGTCATCTTCGTGTAATTTTATAGGTACAACTGAAATCAATACACTTTTGGTCTTTGCGTTCATGACATCATTTATTGCAACCAATTTCATTTTTATTTTTTTGCTATCTTATGTAGTTATATCCTATATGTTAGATCCTGATTTTTTATTTTTTAAATCAGGGAACTTGAAACTAATTGCCGAGTATTTTCAGCAAAGTGAGACATTTGGAGGACCCACGAGGGATTGGATTGGTATCTATGATGAGTGTTCCAAGTAAATGCTTCACTGTAATCTTGTTCTTCAAGTCATTAATTTTTTTAAAAATATTTGTCAAGTAGTTCTATAATATTGCTTTTTATATAATTTCTAGTAAAGTTGTTACATCACAAGTTGGTTAGTTCGTAGTGCATCTGGTGCACATCTTAGCTGAATTATGATTGTCTCCTTGATGATCTTAGCAATTTGTTGCATAGTTGCAGCAACAAGAGACTTATTATGATTTCCAGTTTTTTTATGAACATCTTTATGTGAGACTGCTTGCAAATGATGCAAGAAAAAAAATAATTCAATAGTAACGGAATACATTATATTAGCTTTTTAGGGTCTTTGCCATAACAATCTTAAATGATGTTTTGCCTAAAAATTTACTTACAATGTTGTTGAACATCATTCAACAATAGGTACGTGCTCAATTTTGTATATTTTCGTAACTAGGCATCCTATACGGTTTCTAAAGAATTTTTTAACTACTTCAGTTGATTATTAGTTTTTAGACGGAAAATCAATGATAATCTAATGATTGTTCCCAATAATTTTTATTAGATTGTCCCATTATAAGAGAGATAATTTAATTTCCTATCATTTATTGAAGTACTTAGAAAACCTTGTTGTTGAATAATTTCGTTAAAGAAAAACTTGGCTACATTGGCTGGACTTGTAGTCTTTGAGAATTGTAATACAATGAGTTGTTTTGAAAAATTATTCAACTACAAAAATGTTATCATGCCGAAGACATGTTTTAGGTAAATCTAAAGTAAAAAATCCATACTAAGATCAACCTCTTGCATGGAAGGAATAGCTAAAGAAGCATGCATGCCAACATTTGTTTTATAATTTTTCTCGTCAAATATGTACACTGTAAGTAGGCCCATTTTCAGATCAGGAATAGATCCATTTGCAGATCTTTTTTATGAAAAATTATCTATGGACGAATTTCTTTTTATGTTGTTTTAATTTAAACTATTTTATCAGGTGTAATATTCTGATGCAACCTAAGTTCCTACACCTTTTAGGAGAACACTTAAGCACACAACTAAAAAACTTCCTTTCAATAACACAACAAATACAAAGAGAGATTGACTTGGTAAAAAACAAACGTTAGAAACTGTTTAGGAAATCACGTAGTAAAGAAAGATACAAATCACATAAACAATAATAACTCTCAAAACAACCACGAATGGCACCTCACATGCAATACACAAAATTAGGGAAATGTACTCAAATGAATGATCTAACCAGTCATCCACAACTGAAACTTGATCCGGCACAAGTCTGCACTCAAGCAAATACTAATAGAACAGGGTAACAACACCGCCTCACAACTCACAATATTTAGAGAAACCGTGGAGAGAAGAAGAAGAAGAAGAAGAAAGACCGAGAGGAAGTAATAGGGGATAGGGGAAAGACTAGCTCTCATGCCATGAAGGAACCCTTAGGTTGAATTTTTCTTGCCGAAAACTATTTTTACAATAGGGTTTCTGCCACTTTATATAGGGAGAGCATTTAATTTTTCAATTAAATGAGCCATCATTTTAGCCAATTAAAGCAATCCAAATCATCCAATAAGAAGTCGAAGCATCAAGTAGAGGAATCAACAAAGGGGAAAATCGAACAGCTAAAGAGGGAGAGGAGAAGAGTCCCAAGTAGTTAAATCAACAAAGGGGAAATCCAAACAGCCAAAAGGGAGAAATGGGCCTAGCTCAATAAGGGAAAAAACAATCTACAGCTTGATACCCAACCAGCTAATAAGCAGCAAGGAAGCAAGATTGATGCGGGCAAACTAGAAAGAAAAGACAAATAGGAGAACACTAGGACAAATGAAAACCAAACTCCATTCAATCTAGTAAGCAAACATCCAAACAAACATCAAAGAAAACGAAAAAGTCGAATCAAACGAAACAAAATTATAACATAAAAATACTATCCTCAGAACAACCTGCAAGCGGTTTCCTCACATGCAACGAGAAGTAGGAAATATATGATAAAGCACTTAGGATTGCAAACCGAGGGTCCACCACAGCAAAATGGTCCAACGTCCAACCAAACTCCTTCGACAAATATCTCAAAATCAGCCAACAAACAACTTCCAAAAGCTCAAGAAGAAGGATACAAGTGGAGTGGAACTTGCGTAGAGAAGAAGATGTTAGAAGCCAAGACGAAATAGAGAGGAGGAAGATGTGGAACAAGCTCTCAAGCTTTTTCAAGAGAAGAAACCCTCAGGTTTTTAGCAACTTATCTCCAGTTAATCAGCAACCTCTCCATGACAAAATCTTCTCATATATATAGGAAAAAAGGGGAGCCAAACAGCCAACATCAACCTCCAACCAAACCAATTAGGTAAGGGGAAGAGGAAGGGCAAAAGACACCATAAACAACTCCAAAAAATTGCATAGAAAACGGGTAGGAGAAGCCACGGGAACACAGCCAGGGAGGGGGACCCGAAGAGCCAACACAAAAAATGGGTTGGAGAGGTCACGGGAGAACAACCAGGGGGAGAAACCGAAATCCCACACAAGCACCCAGGAGACACAAGAAGGGGAAGAAATAAGCTCCACTCTACATACCTTTTCAAATTTATGAGCTAGGAAGTGCAATTACTGCACCAAATAATGAGCTAAACTTCAGCACTAACTTTATTAGGCATATGCAAACAATTTCTATCTAAAATGTGAGGTATAGGCTGACCATAAATAATTTCAAATGGAGTTTTACCAGTGGAACAATTAACAGAATTATTGTATGTAAATTTAGCTTGGGGCAATATCAAATCCCTTTGGGATGGTTTTTCTCTAGCAAGGCATCTCAGTAAATTTCATAAGCTTCGATTGACAACTTCAGTTTGTCCATCAGTTTGTGGATGATATGCACTACTAAATTGAAGAGTAGTTCCTAATTTTGCCCAAAGTGTTCTCCAAAAATGAATCAAAAATCTAGTATCTCTATCATAAGTAAAAGTGCAAGGAATACCATGGAGACGAACAATTTCTTTAAAAAACAAATCAGCAATATATGAAACATCAGAAATTTTCTTGCAAGGAATAAAATGTGCCATTTTGCTAAATCGGTCCACAACAACAAAAATAGAATCAAAATTTCTAGCAGTAACAGACAATCCCAAAACAAAATTTATTGAGATATCCTCCCAAGGCTTATTTGGAATAGGAAGAGGAGTATACAAACCAGTATTTTGAGAAGTCCCTTTAAAAGCTTGACAAATTTTGCATTGTTTTACCAGCTTAACAATTTGTTTCCTCATATGAGGTCAGAAGTATTTTTCTTTAACCAAAGTAACAGTTTTTTCCTTGCTCAAAATGTCCACCCAAACCTGCACTATGAAGTTCATGTACAAGTTGCTCTCTTAAAGAATTTTTTGTTGTGCAAAGTCTAGAGCCCTTAAATAAAAATTATTGGTGAATGACAAATTGAGCAGAAGGATCAGTTCCAGAAGAAAGACAAGAGTCCCAAATACTTTTAAAATTAGGATCATTTGCGTAAGTATCTTTCAAAAAGATCAAAAGAAGTGATAGTTGGGTAAACAATTACCAACAAATGAGATCTCCTGCTTAAAGCACCATCTATCTTGTTTAGCACACCGGTTTTATGTTTAATGTGAAAAGTATACTCTTGCAAAAAAGAAACCCATTTGACATGCCTCTTATTCAAATTTTATTGAGAGCCAAAAAATCGTAAAGCTTCGTGATCAATATTTAAAACAAATTCCCTTTGGATCAAATAACATCTCCAGAATTTCAAAGCTTAAACAATAGCATAAAATTTCAAGTTATAAGTAGAATATTTGGATCGAGCATCATTCAACTTTTCATTAAAGTAAGCAATATATTTTTCCTCCTGACTAAGCACAACACCAATACCAAAATGAGAAGCATCACAATCAACTTCAATTTTTTTTCAAAGTTTGGCAAGCTAAGGGAAGCTTGACTCATTTTTGCCTTTATGATTTCAAATGTTTGTTCAGCTTGAGGTGTCCACCTAAATATCCTTTTTTCAAACAATCAGTGATAGGAGCAATCAAATAACTAAAGTTTTTAATAAACCGTCGATAGAAAGAAGCTAAGCCATGAAATCCTCTCACCTCACTTATGTTTTTAGAAGTAGGCCAGTTTTGAATTGCCTCTATTTTCACAAGATCAACTTTAATTCCCTTGGCAGACACAATGTAACTAAAAAATGTTAAGCTCGAAGTTATGAAGGAACATTTTTTAAGATTGATGTACAGCTTTTGTCTTTTAGCATTTGTAAAACTTGTCTCACATGATTAAGATGCTCAGAAGGGTGAATGCTATAAATCAAAATATCGTCGAAATAAACCACCACGAATTTTCCAATAAAAGGTCTCAAAACATGATTCATTGTTCTCATAAAAGTGCTCGGAGCATTAGAAATCCCAAAAGGCATCACGAGCCATTCATACAAATCTTCTTTAGTTTTAAAAGCAGTTTTCCACTTATCCCCAGGTCTTATTCTAATTTGGTGATACTCGTTTCTCAAATCAATTTTGAAAAAGATTTTAGCACCGCTTAACATATCCAACATGTCATCCAGTCTAGGAATAAGAAATCTATACTTAATGGTGATTTTATTTATAGCCCTACTATCCACACACATTATCCACGTTCCATCTTTTTTTTGGAGTTAGCAAAGCAAGCACAGCACAAGGACTTAAGTTTTCCTTAATCAAACTTTTCTCTAACAGTTCAGTTACTTGCTTAAAAAGTTCATCATGCTTAATTGGACTCATCCTGTAATGAGGAAGGTTAGGTAAAGTGGCTCCAGGTATTAAATCAATATGATGTTGAATATCTCTCATCGGTGGCAAACCTATAGGAAATTTCTCAGGTGTTATATCAGAAAACTTATCAATTAAAGGCTGAATTTCTTTAGGAATTTGAAGAGTTGAATCAATTTCCTTTCCCAAAACCAAGTAAGCTACCTCAGAATGTTTCAAATCATGTGTTCAAAAGCAGTTCAGGAGTATTTATTTTGGCAACCTTATTATTTTTGACAAGCGAATCAGGAACAAATGTTTGAGGATAGAGAGTGAACTCATTATTTTGAATCAAAGTATAAGTATTCTTTTCTCCGTTATGAATGATTTTGTGATCAAATTGTCAAGGACGACCCAACAAAATGTCACAACTTCAAGAGGTACGACATCGCAAACAACTTAATCCTTAAAAGAACCCCCAATTGATAAGTTGACAAAACATTGCTTTGTTATAGGAACTTCACCCCCTTCCTTGAATTAAGAGATTTTATAAGGTTTGACAAGTGGTTTGGATATTAACTTTAGCTTATCAACCATTAGTTGTGACTCAAAATTTCCTGAACTTCTGCTATTGATCATAAGAGTGCAGATTTTTCCCTCAACCGTGCAAGTTGTTTTGAAAATGTTTCTCCTAAGCCACCTATCCCCATTCTCAACTTTAGTTGTTAAAATTTGTCGGATTACCAAAAGCTATTCACCTTCATCTTCCTCTACATCATTTTTTTCCAATTTAATGTCATTTTCAGGTTCGGATTCGTTTTCTTCATCTTCTTCTATCTCTTCATCATTTTCAATGAATTTGTTTCTTATGAATGATTTTTTCTACAAGAACACAGAAAGATGACCATAAAACCCACATTTATAGCATGATCCAATTAATCTTGGTTGTTCAGTAGGTTTATGCCCCATGATTCCTTTTCCCTTATCCATATTTTGAGTTTCAAAAGATTTGATTTTCACACCCGATGTTCCCACAGAAGTTTGAGTCTTAACCCCGCTAATTGGTCGTCGTTCATATGTTTTCGTTATTTTGTTGTGACCCCTTTTCCTTTGATGTTGCTTTTCAAATTTTAATGCCATACGATAAGCCTCGTCAGTTTTATTTACATGATTCAAATTCAGTTGATCTTGGATTGTCCACTTAAGACCGTTGATATATACCTTGAGACAGTTTTTTCTTTAAATTCATCTAAGTCATTTCTCGATTGAAGTTTGTAAAACATTTCAGTGTATTATTCAACAGATTGATTTCCTTGTCGCAAGTTATTAAATTCTTGAAAAAGTGTTCGTGCGTTATCAGATGACAAGAATTTCCCCCTTATTTTTTCTTTCATTCTTTCCCAATTTTGTATTTTCTCTTTCCCACATCTTTGCCTATTGTTTTGTAAATTTTTTCACCATGTAAGGCATGACCTGTAAGTTTTAAACTTGCTTTTTTTTTTTGGTTTTTCGGACTTTCTTTCCAATAAAAAATTTGATCCATTTTTTCTATCCACTCGAGGAATTGATCAGGTTGTAATATCCCCTCAAAGTTTTGAACATCTATTTTAATCCCATAATCTCAGTTTCTTTGTAGCCTATTTTGGTTCCTAGGGACTTCTTTTTCACTTTCATATGTTTGGACATTATGTTGGTTGACATTTAAATTAGCAAGAGTGTTAGCCATTTCGTTCATTTGGTTTTGCAAATCTGCTAACTGTTGCATCATATTTTGCCAATCCCCCGGATTATTAGCCATCTTAGATTTTAAAGAAAAAGATTCACCAACTAAGGATATTCTAACTCGCTCTGATATCACATTTGATACGGGTAAAATAGAAAGAAAAGACAAAAAGGAGAACACTAGGACAAATGAAAACCAAACTCCATTCAATCTAATAAGCAAACATCCAAACAAACATGAAAGCAAACGAAAAAGTCAAATCAAACGAAACAAATTTATAACATTAAAATACTATCCTCAGAACAACCAGCAAGAGATTTCCTCACATGCAACGAGAATTAGGAAATATATGATAAAGTGCTTAGGCTTGCAAACCAAGGGTCCACCACAACAAAAGGGTCCAACGTCCAACCAAACTTCTCCGGTCAATGTCTCCAAATCAGCCAACAAACAACTTTTAAAAGCTCAAGAAGAAGGATATAAGTGGAGTGGAACTTGCGTAGAGAAGAAGAGGTTAGAAGCCAAGACGAAATAGAGAGGAGGAAGAGGTGGAACAAGCTCTCAAGCTTTTTCAAGAGAAGAAACTCTCAGGTTTTTAGCAACTTATCTCAAGTTAATCAACAACCTCTCCATGACAAAATCTTCTCATATATATAGGCAAAAAGGGGAGCCAAACATCCAACATCAACCTCCAACAAAACCAATCAGGTAAGGGGAAGAGGAAGGGAAAAAGACACCACAAACAACTCCCAAAAATCTGCACAGAAAACCGGTAGGAGAAGCCATGGGAACACAGCCAGGGAGGGACCCGAAGAGCCAACACAGAAAGCGGGCTGGAGAGGTCACGGGAAAACAACCAGGGGGAGAAACCGAAAAGGCCACACAAGCATCCAGCAGCCATTTCACGGGAATAGCACAAAGAAGAAACTGAGGAGACACAAGAAGGGGAAGAAACAAGCTCCACTCCACATATCTTTTCTAATTTATGAGCTAGGAAGTGCAATTACTCCACCAAATAATGAGTTGAACTTCAGCTCAAGCATTAATGAGCTAGCACTAAGAAGTTCTCCAAATTTCAGGTCACAACCAGAGCAGCCAAAGCCTATCCCGAGAGCATCCATGACCCAAACCGTGAAACAGCAAGCAGCCCAAAGAACAAAAGGACCCAAAATGCTAGCAAACCCAAGCCTTGCCATGCCCAAGCACATCCTACCATGATCATTGGATGTTCTCCATCATTGAATAGCATAAAAAAAATAAAACACAACTAAATATTGTTCAAATTACATCAAAACAAAACAAACTAAAAACATGAATGCATCAAAGATCAAACTCAAATGAAGGGGCAATGGTATGAACCAACCCGAGTGCATCAAATCCAACATAATTATTGGTCGTTTTCCATCATAGGGTAATACAAAAATAAAATACATAGCGTCCAATAACACGAAAAAATAAAAATACATAAAATGTAAATTCTTGACTACATTAATTCTCCCATGGTGGAAGAATCTCATTAAGACGACGAAGCTACAACTCTTCAGCTTCAATCCAAGAACAGTCAGTCAGAGGATGTCCACTCCATCTAATCAAGAATCGTCGGTGCACCCCTTATCTTGTCTGGGTAGTACGAATATCCATAACATCATTGATAAAATCATCAATGGTCTGAACTGGAACAATAAGGGGCAAAGTTTCCAAAAATGACTTAAAATATAGTATCCCTATTAGAGGTAAAAGTTCGAGGTATGCCATACAGTAGCACAATTTTTTTAAAAATTAATTTAGTAAAATGAAATGCATCAGATGTTTTCTTACTGGGAATAAAATGGACTATATTACTGAATCGGTCAACGATAACGAACACAAATTCAATTTTTTGGGCTGTTATAGGTAATCCTACGATGAAGTCCATGGTGATATCTTCCTAGGGTTTGTTTGAAATCGGGATAGGAGTATATAAACCAGTGTTTTGAATTGTTTCTTTTAATGATTGATAGGTTTTACATTGTTTTACAAACTTGGATGAATGTTGTCGCATCTGGGGCCAATAATATCGTTCTTCAACTAAGGCTATAGTTTTTCCTTCACTAAAATGCCCTCCTAATCCTCCACCATGAAGTTCTTGGATAAGTTTTTCGCGTAGAGAGCTTTGGGTGATGCAGAGTCTAGCTCCCTAACAAAAGTTCTTGTTGGATGATAAATTGAGCAGAGGGGTCAATTCCGGAAGTACAACATGATTCCCAAAGGGTTTTTAAATTCTGTGTCAGTGGCATAGTTATCTTTCAAAGAATATAGGGAGACCATAGTTGGGTGAAGAGTTACAGATAAGTGGGCTTGTTTGCTTAAGGCATCAGCGACTTTTTTAGAACTCCGGCTTTGTGTATATGTTGAAATGTGTGTTATTATAGGAAAGATATCGCATGTCTTTGATTTAAATTCTTTTGAGACCCTAAATATCGTAGTGCTTGGTGACCGGAGTTTAACACAAATTCCCTTTGAATAAGATAATATCTCCAGAATTTTATGGCTTGTACAATCACATAGAACTCTACTTCATAAGTTGAATATCGAGACCGAGTATCCTTGATTTTTTTCACTAAAAAAGTGATGGGTCGACCTTCTTGACTAAGGATAGCTCGTATGCTAATATGGGATGCATCAGTCTACTTTAAAAATCTTGTCAAAATTTGGCTACCTAAGAATAAGTGCTTGGCTCATTTTTTTTAATTAGTTGAAATACCTTTTTAGCTTGAGAGGCTCACATAAAATTTTTCCTTTTTAAGACAATCAATGACGGGTGATATCAAGGTACTGAAGTTATTCATAAATCTTTGGTAGAAAGTGGTTAATCCTTGAAATCTTCTAACTTCTCTAAGATTTTTCGGAGTCAGCTAACTTTTGATCGCTTTTATTTTAATGAGGTCTACTTTAATACTATATGCAGAGATAATGTATCCAATGAAGATCAAACTATGAGTCATGAAAGAGCACTTTTTTTAAGTTTATGTACAAACTTTGTTCTCTTAAGGTTTGGAGGGCTTTTTTCACTTGTTCAAGATGGTCATTGGGATAAGTACTATAAATGAGGATGTCATCAAAATAAACCACAACAAATTTTCTAATGAAGGGACGTAAGATATAATTCATGGTTCACATAAACATACTAGGTGCGTTTGACAAGCCAAAGGGCATGACTTACCATTTGTTTTAAAGATTGTTTTTCACTCATCACCTGGTTGTATTCGGATTTTGTGATGACCACTTCGTAAGTCAATCTTAGAAAAATTTTTTGCCCCGTTAAGCAAGGAATGCTGATAGGTTCCGTTGAGATTTTCTACAATTTGAATACATATAAGGGTATGTATAAATGTTTACTACAATTTGAATATATATATATATATATATATATACTCGTAATTGATGCTTATTACTGCAATTTCAGAATTCTATATCAAGAAATTGATTATATTAATGAAGGAAGGAATGCTGATAGGTTCCGTCGAGATTTTCGAAATGTAAAGTGGGTTCGTGTACCGGTATGTTTCTTACATTGAAATATTATTTACTAATAAGCTACACTTTCCTATTTTTTACTTGAGCTTCATATTGATATGTAGCATCTAGGCATATATTGATTGTGGATTTGAAAATTGATCGATTAACATTCTGAATATAATTAAATATATTGTCCTTTGTAGACTGTGCTTTGGGATTATACTTCCACGAAGGTGTTGACACTGGAATATGTTCCAGGTTTTCCCTGCTTTCTATCTTTTTTTTTCCTGCGGTTACACTGTATAATGATGCGCCAGTGGTGATTATAAGTTACCTTTGATTATCGCATTTTTCATTGACCTTTGTATTGAACAGGAATAAAGATAAATAGCCTTAGCCAGATAGATGCTAGTGGAATTAACCGCTCGCTGATTGCTTCACGTGCTATAGACGCATATTTGATTCAGGTAAAGCTTCCTTTTTATCTTAAAATTGCCATTTCTTTCCAATCATATAGTAAGCGTTCAAATTTCTTCAAAAACATTCCTTGTAGCTGTCTTTAGACCTTTTCATATGGATATTCTTATGAGGCTTTAAGAATTGTAGTTAGATTTTCACTAAGTTTTTGGTTTTTATCTTTCTAATTGAGGTACGAATGCAGATACTGAAGACTGGATTTTTTCATGCTGATCCCCATCCAGGAAATCTTGCTATTGACACGGATGGATCACTTATCTATTATGATTTTGGAATGATGGGTGAAATAAAATCCTTCACTCGGGAGAGGCTGCTTGACTTATTTTACTCTGTCTATGAAAAGGATGCAAACAAGGTATTTTTCATTTTTCCTTAATTTTTTATTATAGAATTACGTATTTGATTATTTTCTCAGATGAAAATAAGTTAGAATATTTTATTTATTGGTTGATAAAGGGCAATGCCATTTTAGATTATATCTTAAGAACAGTTTTCCTGACAATGACACAAGAGATTTTCTTTGTATTAAGTCTTCAGCTAGTTGTTTTCTTGCTTAGGATCTCTACATTCATGGCTCTTGAGCCATTATTTTATCAGCTTAATTTGAACAAATGTTAGATGAAGTTTATCAAGCCTGATTGTCAGTTCTCTTCCTCCACCAGCCTTTTGTTGCTCTTCTTTCATACATAATACTAATCTGACAAAAGATAAATTGGATCCCAGAGTAATCAATGCTTATCCCTTGGTTATTCTTTTACTAAGAAGCGCTATAGGTGTTCCTATTCATCTACATTTTTTGTCCCTTTTGATGTCTTAATCTTTGATCATTTGCTATTCTACAACATCACCTTTATTTACGGCGAGGCTCCATTTGAAGAGAAGCATTGGAATCCCTTCATCTCTGTTTCAATACTTCCTCTTTTGTGATTTGAAACCCTCTATTTATAGCCCTTCTCTAGCGTATTTTTCTCCATACATATACACCACCTTGTGATACAATCCCATCAGTCTTGCCATCAAAATCTTTATTTTCATTTAGGGCGCTAAAGTCTCTAACTCAAAATGCTCACTTATTTTTCTTCCAGGGAAGGCCCTAGCATTAATACAATGTATTAAAGGATTCATGTCATGATTATTTGGGGATTTCAAATGTGGCATCTAGAAGAATAAAAAGTGACTTTAGCACCCTAAATAAAAATAAAGATTTTTGTTTTTATCGGCGTATTAGTAAAACCAAAGTTAGAGAGGCTTTAAAGAAAATGAAGTGTGGAAAAGTTGTAGGACCTGATGATATTCCAATAAAGGTGTGTAAATGCTTAGGAGATGAAGGAATTTCTTGGCTTACTAAACTTTTTAATACTGTTTTGAAGACCAAAAAGATGTCAGATGAGTGGAGAATGAGTGTGTTAATTCCTATTTTTAAAAATAAAGGTGATGTACAAGATTGTGTGAAATATAGAAGAATTAAGTTAATGTGTATACTTTAAAACTATGGGAGCAAGTTATGGAGCGTAGGTTGCGGCATGATACTAATGTTTCTCAAAATCAATTTGGATTCATGCCGGGTAGGTCTACTATGGAAACCATATATTTGCTGAGAGGTTTGATGGAGAATATAGAGAGAATAAGGAGGATCTATATATGATATTTATTGATTTAGAGAAATCATATGATAAAGTTCTAAGGAAGTGTTATGGGGAGTTCTTAAAAAGAAAGGAGTTAATAACGCTTATATTCAAATCATTAAAAATATGTATGCAGGAGTTATTACTTGTGTTCAAACATGGTTTGACAAAGTATTTTCCTATTTTGGTTGGATTACATCAAGGATCAGCCTTAAGCCCATATCTTTTTTTGCTTTAGTCAGGGATATTCTCACTAGACATTTGCAAGAGGATGTACCTTGGTGTATGCTTTTTGCTGATGATATTCTTCTTGTTGATAAGATTGGAGAGGGAGTTGAAGGTAAACTTGAATTATGGAGGTCAACCTTAAAGTCTAAAGGTTTTCACTGGAGAGATCTAAAACTGAATATATGAAGTGCAATTTTAGTGGTAATAGATATAGTGATGGGATTGTGACTTTGGACGATCAAGTCATTAATAAGAGTACATTTTTTAGATATATTGGATCTATTGTTCAAAGTGATGGTGAAATAGATGGGAATATTATCTGCAAAATTCAAGTTGGATGGTTGAAGTGGAGGAATGCATCGGGCTTGTTGTGTGATAGAAAAAGTCCCCCTCAAACTTAAGGGAAAATTCTATAAGATGGTGGTGAGACCTGCAATGCTTTATGGTGTCGAATGTTGGCCATTAAAAGAGAAGCGTAATACTAAGTTAAGTGTTGCAGAGATGAGGATGCTCAGGTGGATGAGTGGCTTTACCCTTAAAAATAGGATACGAAATGCGCATATACGTGGAAAGGTTGGAGTAGCTCTAGTGGAAGATAAGATTAAATAGAGTCGCCTTAGATGGTTTGGTCACATAAAATGGCGGCCTTTCGATGACCCGGTTATGAAAGTAAATGTATTAGATTTGACTTATGTTAAGAAAGGTAGATGTAGACCTAAAAAGTCTTGGTTAGAAAATGTTAGAAATGATCTTTTTTATTATATTTAAACGAGAATTTGACTTTTAACTTGACACAATGGAGAAAAATTTAATTAAAATTTCACGTAACCGATCCGACGTGGTGGGACAATGGCTTGATGTTGTTGTTGTTGTATTATCAATCAAATGATCACTCAATTAACAACATCAATCGAAATAGAACCAACAATTGTTTTGAAAATTAATTCCTTGACAATAAGCCCTTTACGATTATCGAGATTGATTGCAACTTCATCTTTAGGACAAGCAATTGTTGCATTGTATTTTCTTTTTCTTGTAAAAAAATTCGAAGCCATCCATATCCACGAAGTTAATATGTCATCATTTAATATATTATTTAAGTATTACATAAAAAAACACTTTTGATATTTATTATCACTTTACACAATTTTTTTTATTTTGAGGCTTACGCCTCCCCTCATGAACAAAAAATGCCTTAATACCCAATTGTGCAATTTTAAGCCACATCAACAGCATACAGATGATCCGTTGAGCTCTAGATTTTACTATCATCTGTATTTTATCCTTCTGTCACCATAAATTAATGCTCAATTACAAGACACTCTTCAGTGTTAACCCCGCTAGCATTAACAAACATAGAAATAGCTTTCTGATGAACTTGAGCATTCTCTGTTTTTCCGATCTTGATCTTCCTTGCCTTAGATCCAAATCATTTCTCAACTTTAGATGGAGAGCAAAATAAGAAGCATCAGGAATGTGAATTTTGATACCAATACATCAGAAATCCCTCAAAACGTATATTTTTTCTAGTGCACATTCTTATCCATGTTGATCCTAATTTTTTCTTCTAGTTCCTAGCACATCCATCTTGGCACTAATTATGGAGTTAGAGTTGTGTCAGCTACGTTATGTCTCCATCCACTTTGGACGGCTTCCCAAAGACTGGAAATCAAGGATAAGAGCATGTTTTATATTTAACTCTAATGAGTAGAAAGAGAACTAACTAGGTGTGATGGGAAAAAAAAAAAGAGTTTAACATGTTAACTTTCTTGGTAAAGATTTTGGAAATTGTGCCAAGGTCTTGATTCTCCAAAGAAACAAAGTTTGTAACTGTTTGAAATATAATATTCAGATATGAGTTTTGATTGCATAACCTATCTAATAATCCTGATAAAGGATGGTGGAAAATCCCCCTTTTCAAATATCTTCTTGACACCAAATTCTGCTACAAGTTTATAAAGGCCAGCCTTGCATGAGGAAGTGTCCTTCGATATGTTTTTAATTCTTTTTTTAATTTAAGTCTATATTTGCATTTTACTGATGGTGGTTGAATGCTTCATCGGTTTTAAAAATGATTATAGCCATTGGAGAAACTAGCATTTGCTTATTCATGTCATGCGTTGTTTGTCTTTTGCATTAGTGGAAGACTCTCTTATTTATTAGAATTTGTCATGTTTCTTGATATTTTGGATACTGAGGCAAAGCTATTATTTAATGCCTATGTATTTAGGTTATGAGGAACCTTATTGAAATTGAGGCACTAAAGCCAACAGGAGACATGTCATCGGTTAGTGAAGCATGTTTTTTTTTTTTTTAATTTTATTTTTTATAATTATGTTTATGTATCTTAAAAACTAATAATCTTAGCGGAGCATATATAAATTTTTTTTATGTTGTGATTTTTGGCCTGACAATGATAGCGCTTCTTTTCCTGCAGGTGAAGAGGTCCATACAGTTTTTCTTGGATAATCTACTAGGCCAGTCACCCGATCAGCAACAGACTTTTGCTGCGATTGGTGAGGTAGGCTCAATCTAGATTAAAATGTATACCCTTTTTTCCTAAGATGTTACAAATTTTTTATGAGATATTTTTCAGGATTTGTTTGCAATAGCAACAGATCAGCCTTTCCGGTTCCCTGCCACATTTACTTTTGTTTTAAGGGCCTTCTCAACTCTTGAAGGTAAAAATTTCACAGCTTTAACCTTTCCTTTGTGTTTATTACTATTTCTGTAGGTTATTTAGAAACGAATGCAGATAGGCATAATTTTAATCTTGTTATAATCACGAGAATAGTTGAGCCTGTTATCTAAACTGACACAAAAAGGACTTTGCAAGGGAAATATTGTTTTTGGTCAACTAATTTCAGACTGGATTGCGGGATTTTAAGAAATAATTTAAAGCAATCAAAGTCAGGTGTATTTCAGCTAACATATATCACTTTTCAGAGACCCTAACATTTTTTTTTTCTATGTACCTTGGCAGTCAAGTTTGAAATTGCCAAGCTTTTCCCACCCCTGCAATTTTGGATTTTATGGTTATGTTTCAAAATTCTAATGATCCATGTATTGGGTTTAAAATTTATTCCCCAATAAAGCTATAACTAAGTGACGTAGAACTTCTTGGCTTGGCTTCTTAATCTCTTTCTTTCTTGTTGAATTCTGCTGTGTATTTTTCTCGTTATTGTTGTTTTTCTGTGTGGAGATCAGATTCCTATTAAATTGGTATTAGAGCACTATTTGAGAACTATGACGCCGAAGAAAGTGGATACTTTGGAAGAGAATCTAGAAGAAGTTGGCCAACTCAAATTTGAAGTTGAGCAACGGTTTTCATCCATGGAAGGAAGGTTTTCTAACCTAGAGAACTTGATAAAGAAAATATTAGAGCTTCACACCCAACCAACAACAAGTGAGGCAAGATTACCGATGAGTGGACAAGAATGTGGGGGAAACTCCAATATCAACACAATGGGAGACGACCGAGAGATAGTAATACTGGGCGACAGGGAAAATATACCACCTCTTGAACTGATAACCATGAGGGAGATAGGTGAAGGGTATGACATGAGGAAAAATTGGGAGGAAGAAATAAGGATGACTTATTTTGAGGAAGAGGATATCTATGAAAGGAGGGGTGAGACAAAACAATGGAGAGATTACAACAATCACCACATGGGAGGAGCCGGAGGTGGAAGAGGAAGTTGGGGCGAAGGGGATCCAATAGTGAGAAAGCTGAAGATGCCTATTTTTTAAGGGAAAGATGCTCATAGGTGGATCCATAGGGTGGAGAGGTACTTTGCAGTGAATGGGCAGATGGAGAAGGAGAGACTCACGATGGCGACTTTATGCTTAGAGAGGAAGGTCTTGTCTTGGTATCAATGGAGAGACATAAGAGATCCAATCCGATCTTGGAGGGAGTTGAAAGATGGTTTATTAGAACATTTTCAAACTAGTCGGGAAGGAGACTTCTACGAGTAGTTCTTTGCTCTAGTTTAGGAAGATATAGTGATGGATTATCAAAAGAAGTTTGATTACTTTTCCAGCTGATTGGGGAGGTTATTTGAGACAATATTGGAGGGGAATTTCATGAAGGGGCTCAGGCAAAAAAGCAGGGCCACTCCGATTATTGAGGTCACAGGAGTTGGGTGAGGCTATGAAGCTAGCCTAGTTGGTAGAGGATAAAAACTCACTTGAGAAAAGCAGCAGGAGCAGTAGTTTGGGAGCTTAATGGTGGACGAAGACTACTTTTTTGGCACCAAAGGAACAATCTGTGCCCATTCAGAGAGGAGTACTCAAGGATAAGGGATTGGGAGCATGGTCCGAGGGAAATTTCGAACGGTTGAATGTGACAGAGGTTCAGGAGAAATGGGTTGGGGACTATGTTTCCGTTATGATGAGAACTTTGCACTAGGCCACTGCTTCAAGGACCGTTCACCGTAGGCACTTACAGTATGTTATGAGGAGACTCTAGAGGAGGCAATTAAGGAGCATTTGCACCTAGCTGTGGCGGAGGCCTCCTTAAACTCAGTGGTGAGGTTTACCTAAAATCACATCATGAATGTGAGGGAACATATAGGAGGATAATCTATGGTCATTCTAGTGGACAGCGGAGTGACCCGCAATTTCATCTCCAACTAGGTGGTGGACCAATTGGGGGAAGCTGGTCAGCACAGGCTTTTTTAGGGTGATGATGGGAACGGGGAAGGTGAAAAATAGTAGAGGCATCTACGCAGGACTAATGGTGACACTGCAGATGATCCAGGTGAGGGAGGATTTCTTTCCATCGGAGTTAGGGAGCACAGATGGGCATGAAGTGATTGTAGACCCTTGAGAAGACCATGGTGGATTGGAAGGCATTGACTATGGAATTCATGGTGGGAGGGAGGAAGGTGAGGATAGCGGGGATCCTATTCTATCCAAAAGCAAGGTTTCTCTTAAAACCAATGTGAGGCTATGTTGCACCGATACAAATACGACGACACGGATACGACACGATACGGATACGGGACACGACAATTCTTAAAAATACAGGATACGGATACGGCGCGGATACGACATTATAAAATATAAATCATACATAAAAAATAACAAATTAATCAAAGCATAATATTTAAAATGACAAAAAAAATTTGAAAGCAACATCATTTGTAGCATTGTATCTTATAATATCAAAATAAAAGTAAGCATTAAATATTTAAATATCTAGTACAACAACAAAAACAAAAACATAAATTGTCTAGCAAATGAAGTTTCAACTATTCAATAAAGGAATGATAGGATTAGCTTCTTCAGTGGTTTGTCTTTGAATTTCTATATCATCTTCAATGAATATCATAGCTTCCAATTCAGGCTCATCAAGTGAAAGATTAGCAATTTCTAATATTCCCATATCCTCAAGAGATTCAAATCCATCTCCAACAACATCCCACTTTCTGTTGTCTCCTTCCATATAAGTTGAAGTTTTCCTTGAAATAAGCCGAATGTTTGTATGCACATAAACTAAATCTTCAGTCCGTTGTGGAGTAATTTTATTTCTCTTTATTGATTGGACGAGTATGTGCTCCAATTTCTTTCACAACAAGATGAGGATGAAACTTGGCCAAACAATTTTATGGCGATTATTTGAAATAGAGGTGCTGAAGCTCCATGTATAATCCACCACATTTTTGGATCAATTCTCCACCTATACGCAATGACTCTTGGTCATCAAAGTCTTCTAAATAACCAAAAAATTTAGCAAGCTCAATATTGACTCTTCTCTCCTCATATGGAAAATAACGCTTCAAACATGTCTTCCTCATATTTGAAATTTCTAAATCTTTATGTGGAGAAACTCTTTGAGGGTCCTCTTTAAGCCATTCTTTAGTTGAATATCTTCAAAGAATATTAAAAATAAATAATAAAAAATATTGAAATTATTAAATAACAAATTGTAAATTAATAATATAAAAATGTTGAAATTTACTTAGGATTTAGTGAGTGAGCCAAGCAATATAAATGTGTATTATTTTTGCTCCATCTATCTTCTAAAATTGCATAAATAACATCTCAAAAGCTTGAGTCTTCATGAAGTGCTTTCCTCTAATGTCTATATATAATTTCTTTTACTTTGGCTAGCATTGAATCCCACATCTCATAAATGAGATGTAAACAAGACTTATCCGTATCCGCTACTCTTAACATCTCATAAATTGGATCTGTGAAGTTTAAGATGTATTCAATCTCATCCCACCATAAATCATCTAAAAGCTTCTCCTTCAAATCGAGTTTCAGCAACTGCAAGCATATTCAAATTAGAAAAATCATTGAACATAAAGAGTCTCATAGAGTGATTCATAATAAAATTCCTAATTACAACTATATTGTGGGCTCCGAAAATTCGGCCCCGGCCTTCGCTCGCGCTTTTCTTTTTTTATTCGGCGAGGGAATTTTAACTGAATAAAGTTCCGGGGTAAATTTTGGAAGGAAGATGAGTTTGTAGATAAGACACTACCCA